CGATACTTATATTATCATGGGTACACTGAAGAAATATTTCCTATAGTAAGCGACAGTTGATACATTTATAACCACAGAAGCAAAAGTGAAATGAAAGTGCGTGGCTGATGATTTATATGTGCATCAAGATATTTACGATCAAGAAGTCGATAATGCTTCCTCAAGTTTCAAAGAGCAATATGATTAGAGATCAGTGCAAAATCAAATAAAATATATATTTGATTACGATTGTATTTTTTATTTATGTATGTGTATGTTAATTCGTATAGTATAAGTCGTCATATAATATTATGCTTTACCTTTACCTTTACTCTAGAGTAGAAGAAAAGGTAGAGCAAGAGTAAAGGTAGAGCAAACATAAAGGTAAACGACCAGAATATATATATATATATATATATATATATATATATATATTCTTTATAAATTGGCCAAAGATTAACCTGTTGCTATTATGCTTCTTTCGTGAAATATAATTCAGCCTTTTTTTATTTTGAAACTATCAAGAATTTTACCATTTTACAATCCTAATTTAAATGCCCAAACTTCTGATGGATCTTGCTCACCCAATTTAGTGTATTATTTTTAAATTAGGAACTCTCAAAGATGACAAATTTTGAAAATTTTAAATTCATAGGTCAACAAGAGTTTTAGTTCCTGAAAACTTGAGACAATTGTATTATAGTTTTTAACTGTGTTCTTAGAAATGTTATTCACGATGATTTCAAAAGTTGAATAGAAAAAAATAATGAAAATTAACCTTAAACACAGTTTAGCCAAAGCCTTGGATTGCACTTAAAAGCTCATAATTTACAAACTAGGCAAAATATTATTTTTTTAATTTTTATTTCATAATAATTACAATCAATACTACCCAGTTTTGTCTTCAGCCTTCACGATGAGTTATGGAAGACCCTGCATAATGTTTTAATTTTTACTCGCAATTAGATGAGTGTATAATATAACTAGTATATAATTATAAATATTAAATTACAGAATGTAATGCAATAGTAATCATGTAAATGGCTAATTTGGAAAGTACAGTTTTGATTAAAAAAAGAGAATAAATGAATATTTATTATTTTGCTCGTTAATATTTTCAATACATAACAGTACTTCTGTTTTAGTCCAAATTATTCAGCAAATTTAGTCGTTGCTATTTCACAAAGTTTGATAGAATATTAGTGAATTATATATATATATATATATATATATATATATATATATCGGTAAGAGCTTTGAGCTACAAATGAATTTATAGTCGTATTATCCTCACTCTATAAGTATACCATTTTACTCATAAAAACATTTACTATATCGCAAATAACTTAAGTTTGTGAATTTTGTACTTCATTAGTCGCCGCTATGGTAATTTTATTATATTTAATTAAAACTGTATCAAGAAAACTTAATATCTCAAAGTATTTTTTGCCAAAAATTCCTGAAAAACACTTGGTTTTGTTTAACACATATATTAAAACTATTTTTATCGACAAGCCAAGAAAATTTCTGGTCAAATTGTCAGACATGTGTGCCTGACATGGATCATGAAATGGCATGTCACTGCCACAGTTCTATTTTGATTTGATATAAAAAATTAATCAAAAATTATGTAACAGGAGGATCTAATTACATTAATTAATCTTGAAAAGGTTCATAGTTAATCAAAATTTAATCAGACAATTTTTTTTAATTCCGTTGGGTTATTTCTTATAGCAAGATACAGCATTCATAGCTTTTGTATGAACTGACTATCAATAAGGGGATACGCATTTAATCAGATTCGTTTGTTAAGCAAATATTACTTTTACGTTCCGTATTATCTTCATGGAAGAAAGGTATCGAGATAAAATTCCTATACAACATGCATATATATATATATATAATATATATATATATAATATATATATACATATATATATCTATTATCTAACCGTAACATTCGTAACAACACATTATTAAATTTCTGTAAATTACACAAATTTCTTTATATCATCGCATTTCCTTGTCGGACAAAGGATGCTAGCACCTCACTGACATCCATATAAAGTAATCCTGTCACTCACAACGCACATTTTAACACATGTTCTTCCACAACAATCGCATAAAGCACGGTGCGCGATTCGCGGGAGCGCCGGTCTGACTGAATCAAAGTTGAAAATGCAGGCGGGAGGCACTCAGACGGCTCAAATCCACAATGATAGTGGAGAGCTGGTCAATGGTAAATGAGATTTAGTTGAAAAACTAGTGGTGCATGACATCGTGTCTTAAAGTAAATTGCTGGAAACAACAGGTACCGTTAATTAATATTTTAAAAGCTTCAAAATTATTTAAAAGAATTAGATATTAAAGGATTTTGAAATGTTTGAAATAACCCTGTTACTAAAAACTAATCAGCACGTCTCCCCATCAAATGTTTTTTGAATAATCCAAATCGGTTGATCCGTGCTCTCAAAATCGTCGGTGAAAATTTGTATCCGCACGCACATACATTCATACACATACATACAAACATCAGTCCATTTTTATGCCAAAATGTTCAGAAAGCTTTGAAACGTATCTAAATATAAGCAAAAATTTTCATTCTGGTTTTTTAGCGACTACTATAACTTACCCTAAGAAAAGTTAACAACTAATAATATACTATCATTAGTTAGTAAGATTATACTGCATGACACTATTTTTTTCCTGAGATGTTTCAAGTAATTTGGAGACGTTGACTGCAACAAAAGTTACAGAACTTTGCTAATAGCTCTATTCTCTATTCATCGAGATATACCAATGTGCTAGTTTCACCTCAAATTACAGCAAAAATTAACACATATTTTATTTTACCCATCAATAGTTGACATTACTCAACCTTTTGGCATAAGGAGATTGAAACGAAACTGGCCTTTAGACTTAGTCTTAGATTAGCTCTAATATAATATTATCATATTAATTATTAAACTAAGAAGATCTCATTGGAGTTCTTCTTAGACATCGCTCTTAAATATTGTCAATTCAGCTCATAGGAATCTTTATGTGTTTGTGATTGCTAAATAAAACAGAGTTAATAAAAAGAAAAAAAAACTTATTTTATTTTGATCGTGGACTACTACGACTAATTTCGCCGTCGTTACGCTCCAACAATTGTCAGCCATTATGTGGATGTCCCACCTTCCTTGATATAACTCTTCCAAAGTCCTGAAGTCTTAGTGAATTCCCATGTTCTTTGCTAACATCCCCAAATTTTTCAAAAATCTTTCTAAATGAGAGTGCAGATAATGAATTTTGATTCTCACGTTTAAAATTGCATAGCAAGCATTCAACAAGCTTAACTGTCTTGCTGACTTTTTTGTATCCGAGAAAATTTGTTACAACGAAAAAGAAAAACTCCCTAGGTTTCATCTGGATTTTATTCATAGAGTTCACAAACTTGCATTTTTTATGAGTTGACTAATTTGGAGATCAGCAAATATATCAGATCTTCGCTGTTGCTGGATTCTCTTTTAACGTTGGTCTCTCAATTCATTACATGATAGACAGAAAATGTTGATGCTCTGGGTTGTTCATTATTAGAATAGATAAGGTTAATGTAGTAGAGTAGACTCCAAGACCATTGGGTTCAATTGACTAAATTCATCC